TGGAATGAAAATTTGGTGACAGCAATTAAACATTGATGGAAACTAGGATCATAAAAATGAAAAGTGATAAAATTAAAATAGAAGACAACATATTTTGACATTTTGATTGATATTTTAACAGTACTTAAATAAGCTTCAGGAAATAGTTTAGAAAACCTCATAGGAAAGCCTTTTTTGTTGTTGTTCAGGAACAAGCAAAAGGAAAAATGTCCATTCAAGTGAATGGCAAAGGAATGATAGGAAGCTGTGTTATAAATTTAAGATATCAATTTATGAATTTATGAACCAAATGTTCCAAAAGCAGTAGCCTAAGACCAGGATGGGAAAAGAAAAAGGCTTAGAGGTGACATAGAGACTATCTATTCCACCAAAAAGAATCAAAGTTAAACTACACTAATAGAAACAAAAGAAATGGTTTCTTTATACATTGTCTTGGTCAGCCCACATCTAAAGAATAGTGTTCAATTCTGAGTGCGCCATGGCCCTCAGAGATGGGAAATGTTTCAGGTTCTGTGGTCCATATGGTCTCCGTCTCATTACTCAATTCTGTCATTGCAGTGGAAAACAGCCATAGGTAATATGTTAACAAATGGGCATGACTGTGTACCAGTAAAGCTTTATTTACAAAAACAAGGGTGCCAGATTTGGATCTGGCCATTTGGAAGAGAAGCATTGATAAAGACGATCAGGGTGTTTAGGGAGTCTGAAAACCTTGTCACACAAAGGATTATATAAGAAGTTATTAACATTTAGCCAACAAAAAAGGTAAATCACATAACTAGTAAACTTTGCTCTAGGACACACAAGTACAAGATATCATTCATTTCTTTATTTAACAAAATTAATTTTGTCTTGGTCTTCAACCACTATGGCTAGAAAAAAAATCTATTTCAGGTTTATATGATACCCTTTTGGGGGTTAGTGAGAACTGCAGAGTTCATAGAATCCAGGAAATTGTGGAAAGTCTTCTGGTCTTCAGTTCATGGTGATTCTCACTAGAATATTTTTTTTGCCTAAGGCTACACAAGTCAAATGCCAGTGGCTCTGCTACTCCTGTGGTCATTTCTCATTCACTTGCCATGTTTGGTCACTTGGTCCTTCCTCTTGGCTCCCCAAGCTATGGTGTTCATTGTTTGTTGGGCATGTGCTGGGAACAAAGTTTGAGAGAATCTGCCACTCCTCAATATTCCCCGGTTCAGAGGAAAATCTAATTCTCTCTTCGTGGGGCCCAGCCACTGACACCCCTTTCCCTAGAAGCATCTATTCAGTCATATAGATTTGGCAAAAGACAAGGCAGATGTTCTCCTTACAATTCTTACCAAGGTTTCATAACCATCTTTGGTCTGTGGTGCTCCCACACAAACCCTTCTGGGAGCCTTGAAACATACTTTAAGGTCTGGGGAAAGGAGGCATATACATATGAAAAACTAACAATTCAAGAAAGTAAGTGGTGAATGCCAAGTAAATCATGGAAGGAAGTTAAATGGTGTATGAGTTAAAAAGGAGAGAGAATTTTCAGATGGAATAGACAAGAAACATCACTTATTTATTTTTCAGATCTTTATTTCCAGTCAAGACCTTTTACCTGAGCTCTAGACACACACACATTTTCTCCTAGTATGAGTCTCTCACAGTCACCTCAAAGTCACTATAGTAGTTAAAATAGAATTCACTCCATCCAACCTATCTTCACCTTAGATTTATTCCATTCCAATATTCCTAAACTGCTACTCAATCCAGAAACTATCTTTAATACTTTCCTCTCCTTTCCCTCCCACATCCAATCAGTCATCATCATTACCAAGTTGTGTCTTCACCAATGCATCTCTCATAATATCCACCATATCATCCATACTGCCATTGTCTTATTTCTGGCCCCAATTATATCCCATATGGATTTCAGGACAGTCTTTTCTTTGGCCTCTTGGCTAGCACGTCCTCTCCCCATTTCCTACACCATTCCAGACTGCCAAAGTGCGCTTTCTAAAATACAAATCTGACATATTTTTCCTATCTAAATCTTAAAGGTTCCATTGATTTTGAACTCAAACTCCTTGGCTTGACGTGGATGATCTGGCCCTAGCCTACAGATTATTTCTTATTTCTTACTATTTTCCTTATTTCTTATTGTTCTTACTAACCTGCAGATCCTAGAATGGGCCATGATATCTTTCAACTCACCCCTTTGACATTTCCTCCCAAAGAATCCATCTCTGCTAATTCTGTAGCCTGAGCAACTACTCGAAACCAAAGTAAAGTGACAGTAGGGCCTCCTGTTTTTTACTCCCACTTCTCAAGGCTGAAAAAGTACATCTCCTCTGTGCTCTTAGAAACCTACATCTATATTTTCTATGGCATTTACTCTATTGGGTAACCTGATAACCCTAAAACTGGAGAGAGATGAGGAAATCAATGTATTTGTGTTATTGAATAAATAGTACTGAGAAATGTACAGGTAAAGTCATATTGAATGGAAAAAAGAGCTTTAGCAAAGGCTTAAAACAGAAAGCTGATCTTCTCAAAGTCACCACTAATCTCCAGGTTGTTAAATCAAGTGGTCAGTTCTCAGATCTATCGGCAGTTTTTGTCACAATCTGTCATTTCCTTCACCTTAAAACACCTTTTCACTTGGCTTCTGGGACTCCACACTCTTCTGGTTTTCCGCCTGTGTCCCTAGTCACTTCTCTAGCTTGTTCTTTGGCTTGTTGTCATGCTCTTTTAGACTTATCTTCTCATCTACACTCACTCCCTTGATAACTTCATACTCTCGAAACTTGCTGCCACCTCTATGCTGACCGTGCTCAAGTTCTCTCTCTTGCCTGGACTTCTTCCCTGAACTCCAGACTTGTGTGTATAACTGCCTGCTTGACATCTGAGTTGACTTTAAAATGGAAATTTCAAATTTAATATTTCTTTTTTCTGTCAACCGTAAGAGGTATAATTGACAAATAAAATTGTAGGATACTTAAAGTGTACATAGTGATGATTTAATATATGTATACATTGTGAAAGGCTTCTTTCCATCTCGTTAATTAACACATCCATCAACTCAGGTATTTATCTCTTTGGTGGGGTGGCAGGGGTGAGAACATTTAAAATCAAACCTCTGATCAACCCCACCCTGCCCCACCCTGTCTTCTCCATCAGTCAGTTGCAACTTCATCCTTGTAGTTGCTCAGACCAAAACACACTTTGTCACATTTGACTCTACTTTCTCCTCCCCACAGCCACTTCAGCAACAAAACATTCAGTTCTAATCTTAAATACATCCAAAATCCAACCGCTTCTCACCACCTCCACTACCACCACCCTGCTCCAAACCCCCATCATTTCTCATTTGGCTTATTCCGTTAGCCTCATGCCTGATCTCTTGGTTTCTAGCGTTGTTCTCCTCAGTCTGTTTACAAGCCTGCAATGAAAGATGTCCTTTTAGAATAAGTCACTTCAGTCGTACCCTTCATCACAGCCTTTCAGTGACCCTCCATCTTGCTCAGAATCAAAGGCAAAGTCTCTACATTGGGCTATAAGACCCATATTATCTAACTCCCCATTATCATCGTGTTACTCCCCTCTCCCTCACTCTGCTTCAGCCACACTGGTGACCCAGGATGTCTGCAAGCAAGCCACATGTCCTTGCTTTAGAATCTGTGCGCTAGCATGCTCCTTCATTTCCTTTAAGCCTTGGCTCAAATTTCATCTTCTCGGTAACACCTTTCCTGATCACCCTATTAAAAATTGCAGTCATGTTATATGAATTCTTCCTATCTTCCTCTTCTGTTTAGGTTTTCTCCATAGTGCTTATAACCTTTAGTGTATTATTTTATTTTACTTAATTATTTTATTTATTGTAATTCTCTTCCCTACTGGAATGTAAAGTCCTTTTGAGCAGGAATTTTTGTTACTTTTATTCAATACTATACCCCAGACTCCAGAAGATTGTCTAACACATAATAATCTTTCAATAACAGTTGCTGAGTTAAAGAAAGAGTACAAATGTTTTTGCATGTCTGAGTGCCTGACACTGAGCGACAACAAAGCCAGTGACGGGAAAGAGATTAATGGAGCAGACCTCTCCTGACAATCCTGTTGGCCTCCCTCAGGACCTTCTCCCTGAAGTCCAGGTCCTTGAGCTGGCCTTGTCCAGACCAGTAGGGATTCACAAGGCCAGTTCAGTAGCTCCCATGCCATCAGGGTGCCTGACAGTGTCTGGATTACAGAAGTATTTCATTTACTGCTCATAAAAGCCCTATAAGAGAATTACTACACCATTTTAAAGATGAAGGAACTAAAATGTCTAAGATTTGAGTCAATAATGCCTCCAAAATTTCTGTTTAGTCAAGACTTGAGGACAGCATTCTGGTCAGTGGGGACATAAAAAACTTGAAACTCAGAAAAACACTATCTTTTCTTATGTTGTATGTTATACTTAAGAATGGCTTGATAAATGCAGATGGCACATGGGATGGGCTAGGGTACCTCTAACTCTTCTCCAAGGGTTTACAGCTGTTCAGAGCTACAGCAGCACTCAAGCCAATATGTCCAGGAGACAATGAGTAACAGAAGTTCACTTAGGGAAGTAGAAAATGATAAGATTGATGAGGACATTGTGGCCATATTGTGGGATTTTAGAATGCTTTACTAAGAATTTGGTTCATCCATTGGTTCCCAAACCTGAGGTGATTCTTAAAAATATAGATTTGAAGCCCCACCCTGCACCTCCTTCTGGTATAGATATTTAACAAGCTTCCCAGGTTTTCATTAAGCAGCCAGCCTTGTACTCCAACCATAGACTGGCATTTGGGAACATGGTAAGCTACTACAGGTGTTCAGGTGGCAGTGTGCATACATTACTGTATATTTGCAGTTTAATTCTTGATGAAAAATACCCTCATTTCTCTGCATTATACACCCAGGTAAAGCTGACGGGGGTGGGTGGAATGTCTTCTGGAACAATGTGTCATACACTGCCTCACGATAGTATTTTTCTCCATCTGTTATAGGTCGATGCACAAACTGGCCCAGTTGGAAAGACTTGACCTAGGCAATAATGAGTTCAGTGAGCTGGTAAGCAAATGCATTTTCTAAACTTGATAATTACACCGCAGGAGATTATTTCTTTTGTTCTGTCTTTATAACCCCAGGTAGTACATCATCAGGTGCACATTTGCATTTGCTAAATATAAAAACAAAATAAGATTTGGAAATTAAAGTGATTGGCTATATAGTAAACCACAGAGAACTAAATAATATTAAGATTCACTAAAAAAAAAAAGATTCATGCAAATTGAGTTTTGAGCACCAACTGTGTGGCAGGCACCATGTTCAATGTGTTACATATGTTATCTCATTTAATCCTGATTTGACATGTTGCCATGTGAACTGGAAATTAGCTCAAAGTGCTCGCCGATTTGCATAGTTTGTATGTGGTTGAACAGGAATTCAGCCATGACTTGATTAAGTCAGAGTCCACACCTTGAAGACTTCTACTTTGGAAGCTGCTTAGTCATACAGTCTGAGAGGAGTGGCCATGGCCTTTTATTTCTAATTGTATTGAAAGTGTCTTTTGAGTGAACTCGTATTCCAACCTCACTGCCAGCACAGTTGGCAGAATTCTGACTGCTCCTTTCAGGCTTAAGTTTTCTGTAAAATTTGCCTGAAGATCAAAATCTCAAATGAAAATTAGAAAGCAAATACCCCTTTACAAGCAGACTCAGCTTTCTTTATTCAGAAGTCTTCCACTTGAACATCTTCAAATTTCAAAAATCCAATTCATCTAAAATGTATTTTAACTATTTTTAAATTAAAACATGTGAGTAATCAGCTTTTCTCTCTCAGCTATGTTGCTAGCTCTGTGCAAATTACTTAACCTCTCTCAGCCTCATTTTCCTTTTCTATAAAATGGAGATTGTGATTCCTCCCTCACAGGGCTTGTATGAGAATTCAGTGAGATAATGCATGTACAGGACTTGGAAAAAAGTGACTCTCAGGGAATGCCATTGTACACAGGTGACAGAGTATAATTCACACTATATCTTGAATGTGCAAAGAAAATTAACTTGTTTTACTTTGGCCATAACTAATCTGGTCATTATCTCTGCCTCTATCAGTTGTTTATTGAGGGTAAAAACTGACTTTTATTCTTCTGTGATTAAAAGTTTAGTTTGATGTTAACAGTTGCATGGTCCCTTTGGGTTGTGTTCATCTTCCTTGCATAAAAATTCCCTGTGTCTCAAGTATCCTCGCATCTCCCCTACTTCTCTCCTTAAAATGGAATTTGAGTATGTGCAAAGGAGCTACATGTCTTTCTGACATGAGGGAAAGGGACTCCCTGGCCTCAAGCTGGTTTTCAGAAGTGGGCTGGGAGCACGTGCTGGGCTCTGGGCTGATGTCTGCAGCTGATACTGCCTCCTGTGTTAAATCTGTGGTTCTGAACCCATAGTCAGTTCTTTGGGCTCAGGCAATACTCCCTGGGTCCACGGCCATCTCCCTCTTGCTAGCATTGCCACCGCTCAGCTATCGTTGCGTGTTCATGCATCGGTCTCTGCCCTGTCTTCTCTCCAGCACCAGACTTGGCAGTCCGTCCCTGGTTTCTGTGTAAAGGAACCTCACCAGCCATAACCCCAATAGCGGCCCCATAGCCAGTCTATAGACTTGCAGAGTCCACATAAGTTACAAACTGAGAGAGGTCCAGAAAAATGAACTTCAGAGCCTCCCTCTGCCTGCTACGTTGCATTGCCAAGCTTGCTTTGCTTTGGATGCACCCAACCTTGTTAGAGGGCAACTTGCAAGGTGGCCTCAGCACAGATGTTAGGGCAAGAGGGCCCAGTACATAGTCTAATGAACCTCCGGTGTTTTTAAAGGAGGTATATTTATTCATGTAAGTAGAGAGATTGGTAAGGGTGGTGAGTAACAGTGGCAAAACTAGTTTATACTGGTTGTTTTAAAATTAGTTGTTGAGAAGCCAGGATCTACCCATCTTCCATGAAGAGATGTAGCTTGTCCTAGAACATAGACAGTGGATTCAGACAACTGAGGTTTGCCTCTCAACTCCACCCCTCGTTAGCTGGGCACTTTGGGTCTGCAGCTCATGCTCTAGCTTCAGCTCCCTTTTCAATAAAATAAGGATATCAATCCCATCTATCTCACAGGCTTTTTGAGAGAATTTCATGCAAGTGATCTATGTTATATAATATATGTCTCAGTGACTTTCAATTCTGTCAAGTATATCATCTTGCAAGCCTTTTATATGGATAGTTTCTGAATCAATATTTTTCTGTAAATATTTGGATCAACAAAGATAAAGAGAGTGTGTTTATTTTTTGAAAATAGACTTAAGTAAAGTAAATTTAAAATACATGTATTTTAACAATGCTTTATGATGTCTAAGAAATCATCATCTGAGCAGAAGCATTTTTTGCTTTTGAACTCCCAGTATTCCATGCTAGTCACAAAATAAGTCTCTCTAATTTTTCTTTTTTTTTTTTTTTTGCGTTTAACCTAGAACCCTGTATTGGATAATAGTCAGTTATTTGGTAAGGTGCCACAGGGGGAGTAGTATAATTATGGAACTTCACACTTCTAATGTTATTTACTTTTAATTAAATGTCTGGCTTTCAATAGCCATATGTGTGGGACTAGCTGTTGTTTCTCTGACGGTAAAAACTTTTAATAAGAAAATAAGAGAATTTGCTCTGACGAGAGGCCTCTAGAAACAATGTCATATGGAGGACAGAGGATTAAATTCCATTCTGTAGCTATATATTGACACCTCGGTGATTACTGTTAGATGATTCATTTTGCATGATGTGGTAACGAGACAGATGTGGAGAGAAGATGACAATAGTAAAAAAAATCTTAGAATGTGGAAGCCTAATGAAGAGAATGGAAATTTACTTGCTTGAGAAGCAATGCAAATATCCCAAATGAGATTTGAAGTAGAAATATCTACTTATGGATGTCTTTGTGATCATGAAAAATTCTAAACAAAAGGAATTATCTTACGTTTCTAACAGCAGTAACCACCAGAAGATGCTGGGCAAAGTTCTGGGACTATAATAGATTCCTAAAGCTTTTTTGTAAATTGTTTCTTTCATGACTTTTTTTGTCAATATAAAATTAAGAAATGTTCATTTAAAAAAAATTAGAAAGTTAAAAGAAGTGTATCATGGATGATAGTAAAAGTCATCCATACTCTCACCCCCTTATGTAACTGTTGTTAATATCTTTTGGTATGCTCTTCCTCCCCTCCTTCATTTTCTTATTATGAGGCCAAATGAATATTATTTGGAGCCAGGTCAGAGATGGGATACTGTTAGGTTGATGTGTGGATTTGGATGACCTCAATCAAAAATTCTCTGTTCCCTCTGGGTGGAATAGCCTCCTAACTGTCACAGAATAATCAGGAATGTCCCAATGTCATAGGATGGTCAAGGACACTAAAACAGATTCAGTGATTGTCATGGGGCCTAGAAGCTGTATGGTAGGTTTATATTTCAGGTATGTATAGCTCTAACCAATGAACGAAGAGTCCCTATTGGTACTGAACTGGTGGAGGAAATAATGAAGCCCCCAAAAGCAAATCACCGAGAATGAGAAGAATACTGGAGAATGAAGCGATTGAGCAGCAGAGCCCAAAGAAGATGGGATGGGTGGATCCAGAAAAGTGTGAGGCCATAGGCGACCATCCCCCTGATCTAACCCCAGCTTCCAGCTTCCTCACTCCCTCCCTCCACCCATTCCTGCCCTGGAAAAGAGGACTGTGGCATAAAAGAAAGTGTCACTTAGAGCCCCCAACACATCTGCTAATAGAAACCTTCATCAAAAGACCAGTCATAAGAAGCAAAAGAAGAAAGCTTTTCTGCAAGCCAGCAAGAGAAAATTGGTCCACCAAGAGGAGGCTAACCAGCAGACTGGGAAGTGGTCTGTGTGCGGTTTAGAGTTCAGGAATTCAAAGGAGGCCGGCAGCAGCATGGGTGACAACCCAGGGACAACAAGGTGACAATGGGCAGCAGAAAAGGAAGACAGGGATTACAGTGGTCATGGAAGCAGCATCTCCTGTTACCTGGGAGATTCCCTTGTCTTCACCACACCCCCCACCCCGCCCTTCCTCCCCGCTCCCCTCCCACTACCCCCGCCCCCGCCTCAAACGGACTCCTAAAAGGAGTAACTGGGGAGGAGGACCCCAAGAAAGGCCCAGTTTCCTGATCTGCAATTCAAGCAGGAGGGAGATCCAAGAAATGAGGTTTGAAATTTTACTGTAACTATGACATAAAATATGCTGTTTATATGTGTCTATGTAGAGATATTTCTATTTACAAAATTGGAATTGTAGTGTGCATTCCATTTTGCATTAATGCATGATTATCAAATTCAAATAGATTCTTTACAGACGTTATAAGTTATAAGCTTTCTCTGCAGCTGAATTAAGAAGACTATCAAATAATAGCTACAAAGTAAATAGTGAGTTAAAGCTTGAATTTAAGAAAAAACAAAATTAAAGAGACTTGAAATTTTATTATATCAAATTTGAAAATATATAAAATAATATGTGGAATATATGTTTAAGTTACAAAGCATACCAAAACGTATCCCTGTGAACTCACCACCGTACCCTTGTGAACTAGAACCTTGCCCATGCTCACAGCCCTCTGTAGGCTCTGACCTAACTCTGCCTGATTCCCAGCGGTAACAGCAATCCTGAATTTTGTTTAACATTTCCTACATTTGTTTGTATCTCTAAAACATTATGTCATTTCACTTTGCTTGTTCTCAAGCTTTGTAAAAATGTGACTATACCACAACTTATTTATCGTTTCTTTTCTTCATGGATAGGCATTTTTGTCTAGTTTTTTATTGCATTGCTGCTATGAATATTCCTATAAGTGCACATGTGCAAGAGTTCATCTAAGGCATATATTTAGAAGTAGAATTTCCTGGTCATAAGTTGTACACATATTCAACTCAAAAAGTATTTTTTTTTCAGTTATTAACCAGCAATATGTAAGAGTTTCCATGCTTCACATCTTAATCTACACTTGATATTGTCAGATTTCTTATTTTTTCCA